GGGGGGCAAAAGTGTAAGTAAGCGTCATCGGATCGAACGGCGAACAACGATGATACCCAGCAGTACCGCGCCCGTCCGGTGCACCAGGCAAAAAAAAAAAACGGAACGGACGCCGATTGGACAAGGTACTCAAAAACTGCGGTCGTCTATCGCGTCTGTGCTACAACAATACAGCTATCTATCGCACATGCTTTACACGGTCAGCGTAGGAATCAACAAGGCATCGACAGGGGAGAGACTTTCAGTCAAAACACAATTGAGAGGTGCACAACGCAGTGGCATTTGGCGGATTCATGTGGGGGACACGATTTCGCGTGCTCGTTGCCTCTTGGGGTTGTGCTTGACACTCAGATGCAATTCTGCCGTAGTACCTCATTGTCGCACGCTGCCGATCACTTGTGGGATGGCCAGAGAACATGCTTCTAAAATTCACGAGGATTGGCCGTATGAAACAGTTCATCATGTAACCTGGCACATATGACAGCAAGACTCGCGCAGTAGAAAAAAACAGCCCTTCAGTACAAATCATTGGCGCCCTTTTTCGGATCTCACATATTGCCCCTCCCCCAGCCACACTCTCATGTATGTCTCCCCGAGCAACCGTACAAAAAAAGAACCCCATTCTATCTCATCTCAGGACGGAGCAAAGTACGTCCTGACCTATTCGCGAAAATCGAACGAACGCATTCGCAAGACACACACCGCGCCTCGACGGACACACGAGCAAAAACACGCACACACCAACTTCCACGCGGCACTACGCACTTGCTGCTGTTGGCTGTAGACTATCGACCTAGGGTTCTCAAAGGGACGACGACACGTGAAGCACGCGGCCGAGCTTAACGACAACTCACTATGATCCCTCCAACGTTGCCGAGTTCCTTTGCCTTCCCCCCATTGGATTCTGAGGGGTCATCGTCCTCCAGGCTCCGCTCTCCCTGGATTCCCGCCAGCATCCTCGCGAGCTTCAAAATCTAACAAACATGCACAGCTGGGGTGGGTGTCGTTGTTGGTTCAGTGCCGCAAGGGAAAAAATAACGTCGAACACGTTATCACCGGGGGCGTTATCTTGTGTGGAATACGTCGACGCGTGCACATAAAAAACAACCCGCGACCCCAGTGTCAAGGGCGGAGAAGACGGACTGTGAACAGAAGTTGTGTGTTTTTCGCCATTGTCCCTCTCACTCTCACGGTATCACGTATTTTCGTTGGTTGGACCGTTACAATTGGCGCGTAAGATGTCAAACCCACGAGGAGCGCAACAACCGGAGGTGACATGACGTAAGATATCACATCTCCTGGACCGATGTTCAAAGTTCGATTGCTCCACACAGAAAGAGTGGCGGTGCCGAATAGGGCGGCGTTGGGAGCCTCGTCGTCGTGGAAAATTCGAGTATTAAAAACCGACCCAGGGGTGTGATATCTCACGTCATGTCACCTACGGTAGAACATGATTGTCTTTTCACACGGACCTGGCGGACCCAACAATGCGCCAAATAAAGAGCAAGCGAATGGAGGCTTGTTATTTCTTTTGCTCTTTTCCCCCATCTCTAACTATTTCTACATGCTGTCGCTCGCAGTTCATGATACATACGCAATGGTTCTGACTGGCTACTTAAACGGCTGATTCTTTTTTGGTCATCATCTACCTCCAGAAGGTCTAAAACAAATGCATGTGCCAGCTGTTCGTGCCCGGTACATCGGTCACCTCTGGCAGAAAAAAAAAAAAGTTATGCGAAAACAATAGATACTGCAGGCCTCCACCACCAAAAATGCAAAAAAAGCAAGGCTCCTCTCGTGAACGATTTGTCACTTTGGGAACGTTCCGTACGGGAACCAGCCACCACGGTAATGCACGGTAATATTTGGGTGGGAACTGGCCACCACGGAACGTTCCATACGGGAACCAGCAACCACGGTAATGCACGGTAATATTTGGGTGGGAATTGGCCACCGCGGGAATTCCCGTACGGGAACCAGCAACCACGGGAATTGGTTGGGTGGGAACTGGCCACCACGGTAATGCACGGTAACGTTGGATGGTAGCACCCCCCCCACACGGCGAAGTACAGGGTTCCTTGTCAGTGCGTGTGACACCCAAATATTGTGTCACAAGAAGAAAACAAAACCACAAAGGAGTGAACCTGTAAAGTGTGTTTTCTTCTCTTGTTCAATTGTTTGGAGATTACAGGCGAAATATCTCTGCGCTCCTTGTCAAATTACCGAAAGACGAAAGACGACGAACTATTTCCCGATCTAGTTCTAGAGCTACGCCTCGAAATACAATCACTACCGAAACGTGAAGACCGACGAAGGCACCACACTTATCTGCGAGACGAAGACTACCAGATTACCGGCGACAACGCACACACGCATGCTTAAACCACATGATACCGCCCGTACACTATATTATTCGCCAACAGCAGTTCCGCAGTTCAAAAACAATACTGGAGTAAAACAACACTTAAACACAATATTAGAGTGTCAAGACGACAGCGTCGCCAGCTGCTTCCGCCTCGACTTGTGCAACTTTCTCTTGGCACCGAGCTGCCGCTGCTTTGTTGGCCTCAACGGCGTCGTGAAGGGCCTTGACCTCTGGGATGTACAGCCTGTTGAGTCGGAGGAACATCAGTCGCTCTACCTTGCCGGGTAGCATAGAGCTGCGCAGGCTGCCAATCAGGAACGCAAGGGCTGAAAAGTTCCTCTCTGCCTGGCAGCTAGTAGACTCGATCCCGTGGAACAACCGAGCGATGAGCGCCAAATGCGGCAAGCCTGGCTCGACTTCGCCCGTTTCGGCGCATGTTCTGGGCTTGCTCCTCCGCTGCCAGAACTCAAGAAGCGAGAAGTCGTACTCCTCCTCGGCGGGGTCTTCCGCCAAGTACATCCGCAGCTCCCGCTCAACGATCGCGCCCCGCCTCGCTGTAGAAACTGCCGCCGGTGCAGCTCTACCGGCGCTAGCTGCCTTCGACTTGGCGAGACGTTGGAGTCGCCTTTCCTCCAGGTCCGAGAGGACCTTCTGCTTCTTGGGCGCAGGCTGGTTGGACTCTCCGCCGCCGCCCGCTCCACCACTCCCAGCGGATGAGGACGCCGACCCGAGATCGGCCTCCGCGAACGTCTTGGCCACGCTCTTAACGTCAGCAATCGCAGAGGCCTTCAGATCTGCGCTGCCGTTGACGAGATGCTCGTCCGAGCAATCCTTCCGTCTCGGGTCTAGCAGCGCGCAGATGCGCTCCAAGGGCATTCTTGCCGCCCCGAGCTCTTTCTTCTCCATCCTTGAGAGCACAACCTCCCGTACCTTACACGTCTCGGTCATCAGGTCGTCCACCTGGATTTTTTCCTTCAACACGCTGTCGTCGTTGTAGGGTTGGTCTGGTACGCGGATCTTGTACACGTCTCCGCTGAAGATCTCCCTGATCTCGCGCATGTTGAACATCGTCTGGCTGATGTGGGTGTCGGTGGCGCCTTGGATCTTGACGGTTACCTCCGCCACGACGTCCAGCAGGCTGCAAACCTCGTTCGTGACCGTCCACTCACGCGAGGACAACTTCCGGTTGTTGTTCTCGTTGTCCCTGAAGTACTCCACGATTGCCTTCTTCAGCTTGAGTAGCCGAACCATCATAGCGTGTTGACTGGCCCACCTGGTGGTTGTCAGTGGATAAGAGAAAGATCATGGGAATTGAAGAGAGAGGTGGTAGGGGTTAGGCGCTGGGTACAATTGTTGGTACACAATCAATACACAACACATTCCGATTATATTATGACACACAACCCGAACAATAACAGAACCTGCTTCACGTGGTAATGATGTATTTATTTATTTCTGATTTTAAGGTTTAAATACGCACGTGCAGGGTATTCAACGACGGCGCTGCTAATTGATCTGCACAACAAGAAACAAAACACGAAACGATGCAATATCGTAATATGTAATATCAAACACAGATTATGTGGGTACGGAGTATTATACGCACCTCGTGTCGTTGCGCCTGATTAGTTCGTAGATGATCTGGAACTCTTCTTGCAGTCTCTGGATGTCCTTGAGCTCGTCGTTGTTGACCGCGGAGTGGCTGAACACCCCTACTACCGCCGCCAGCCTCTTCATCAGCTTTTCCATGGCTGGGTTCTCGCCCGTTCTGATGGAACCATTTATCCCCAAGGCCCACATCGTGACGGAGTTGAGCCGGTGGGCGTTGCACTTGAGAACTTCAACATCCAAGTTTCGGCAAGCATTTACCACGTTGCCGCCCTGGTCTACAGTAAAAGCAAGGAAGACGTCCTTCGGCTGCACGTTTTCTCCCATCATGTCCGCGAAAAACTCCGTCGTCAGCTGCATGAACACAAGGCGGATCCAAACAAAGAAACACAAGGCCGATCCAAACAAAGTCAGTTGGTTTCAAAATATAAAATGTAGAATGCAAAATACAAAATACAAAAGAATAACTGTTAAAATACCAAATACCAAATACAAATCCGCATTGCAAAATTGAACATTGGGAACTCCCCTTTCAAAACACAAGAACTGGTGTACCACAACCACACACACACGAGCAACGCGAGGCATTTCAACGCGACAAGAAAAACCCAAAAACCTGGGTAACAGTCTTGGGTGGGCATATGCAACTAGTTCTATATTGCATTTGACATTGATACCGAATTCCGTACTAAACGTCAAACCAACTTGAAGGTTGTAAAGCTCGCCTTTTCGATCCATGGCTCGATGTCGGCAGCGGTATGAGAGCCAGGAAAAGCTCGTGTTGCCAACCCGACGCGCGTGATCGTTGTTGCGGCTTCAGCGATGTAGGACACGGAGAACGTGATGTACTCCTCGTTGGCGACGGTCGTGAGGTCCAGCTGGGCACCGAGGAAAGGGCCGACGTAACCAAGCTTCACACACGACTCCCGGTGCAAACGCAAGCCCGTCTTGACTGCGTCGCATGTCTCGGTGTAGATGGTGGACAGGATGGAGTTGAAGGTCGCGTCGGACATCGTCGATTCTACGTACTTGGGGCATAGCATGCCCATGTGGAGCTTGTAGCCATCGTCGTAGCGCATGTTCTGCGGCCTCATGTTGATGGCGCACCACACGACGAACCGGCGATTGGCCGCCGCTTCCGTCGACGCAAGCAGCGGGTTGCCGGTTTGCATGTAGTCCTTGATGGATGGTGTCGACGACCCGGCCTTGCCCTTGCCCTTGCCCGTCGCCTTTCCCGTGGGCTTGGGATCGAACGCTATATTTGAAAACAGCCAACACAAAAAATGTGCAGCGAACACACAGGCAAATAAAAAGAAATCCGGGAGAGATCAGGTTTGGACTATGTGTAGTGTTGTCTTGGAGATGAACAATACTCGCAAATGAAATGAACAAGATTTCAATAATACATGATATGCGATACATATTACCTACATAACAACTCTGTACTAAACTGCGCAATGAGAACATAAATCCTACACAAGACTCATAAAACAACTACAAACTACAAACATAGCTGCAAATTTATAAATTAATTACATGTACTTGGGACCCAAGTGGAGGGCGTCTCAGTTGACACCTTCTTCTCTAGAAGAATCTAAAAAAATAAAAAATATATATATATTAAAAAAAAAACTTGAAAACCAAAACGAACAACAAACCACACAGAGAGGAAGGAGCACAGAGAGAGAGAGTGATTTTTTGTTCTCGCACACTCTGTTTTTTTTTGTTTTTTTTTCTAACACCAGATTGTACCCGCAGCAATGAGAGACAATACACATATTTGCGCAACCACCCACTCACCGACGGCCGCGGCGACGTTGGCTCTCCCTTGAGCGGTGGTGGTGTGGTCGTCCATCAGCGCCTTGTACAGGGCGGGGTGTTTCTTTTTGTAGTGGCTGCTCATGCCGCCCGTGCCATCAGCTGGTTTCCACAGCATGAGATGCTTGCATGCCATGCAGAACACGTTTTTTCCGTTGATGAGAGGCTTGAACTCGCGACACACCTGCCAGACCCACGACCTCTTGGTCTTCTTCCCACTTGTCTGTGGGACAATCGTGACAACCACTTGCGTCCCGTTGTTCGAGTGGAGCGTGCTGGTCTCTGCTGCACCGTCAAGCTGCGGAACCACACGTCCATCGTCAGCCACAGGTGCTGCTGAACCACCACCGATCGAAGAATCGGCGTCAGGAGCATCCACCTCAGCATCAACATGTTGGACCTCGCTCACCTCGCTCATCACCCTCTTGTGTGTCTATAGCAGTTCACACTCTTGGTGTTGTGTTTGTGTTTCGCCCTCCGCGGGCGGGTGTGTTAACAAAAGGGTTCTCTTTTTCGTTGAAAAGGTTCTCTTTTCGTTTGACAGAATAATAAAAAAAGGGGGAAAAAAAAGAAGGGAGAGACAGAGAATCGAACCCCCGGCCTGCCACCCGCCTGAGGATTATATGCAACCCTCGAAGCTACCTTGCTCCACGGTATTGAAGTACATATATACATGACGGGAATTGGTTTAACATTCCCGTACGGTATTGGCAATTGAATTTGTGCACGGTATTTGTATGGGTGGGAACCAAAAGCCACGGGAATTCGACTTTTTCCACGGTATTTGGTTGGGTGGGAACAACGGGATATGATCTCCGTGGTAACGGTTTGGATGGGAATGGGAAGCGGTCATTTGCTTGGTAACGGTTTGGATGGGAATGGGAATTGCGATTTATCACGGGAACGCTCCCATTTCCCATTCCCGTGGAAATACCGCGGTATTTTTCCCGCGGGAATATTCCCGAGAGGAGCCTCGAAAAAAGGCACAAAAATACCAGGCAGATAAACAAATAACAAAGGTATTTCCCGTCGTGTTTTGTCCACACATGGACTAGATAGAGTAGATGTACCTATTAAGCCCCAGAGCAGGTTGAGCCCCACTAGCGATATGGGGAGGGCAAAGTAAATATTGCTATAAAAACAATGATTCATCGCGTTGACCAGACTCTTGGGCTTCGTTTAAGTTTAAGTTTGTTCGGATCGGCGAGGTCTTGTGTACTTAACAGCATTTCAAAAAATTTCATCAACTTTCTACTTAAGGATCCATATTTAGAAAGTCATACAACCACGCGATCGTGTCCTTGGTTTCTACGAAAATTGCTGTGGGGCATCACTTTTAGGTTTTGGGCGCCGGTTTTTTATTCTGCCGTGCGCATCATTTTTCTTACTTTCTTGCCCGATTTTGCACCGAAAATCGGGCAAAAAAATCGGTCGTACATACACGAAAGAGTGGCTCAATGGCCACCAATACCTGCCTACTCCAAGGGTGTTGAACACAATCCGAACAAAAAAATAAAAAAATCCTGTTGCCTATGGTTCTTATGGTGCACCTTAAGTTGAGGCATATTTTCATATTTTCAGCCGAAAACCGCCGAAAAAACACGGGGACGGGTCATACTTGTCCCCGTGTGTGAGTTCAGAAAAAAAATATGATACCAACATCTTGTTCAACCTCGAACCATTGTTTGGGGTGTCGGCGCGTGTACTATGTTGTCCCGCTCGCGGGCTCTTGTCGAGAGCGTGTTGCACAAAGGAGTGACTCAAGTTCCTTGATTAACTGTTAACGAGCGAGATACATGGGCAGGCAAGCAGAGCCTACGCGTCAAGTCCATCGCACCCATCATGTACAATATCTATCTGCGTAACCCCCGGAGATCTCGGAGATTCGTATCCTGCCAAGTATACACACAAACAGCCCCCCAACTCGGTACGAGACACGATTACGAGATCCTCCGTACATATATCGCCAAGTAAAACGGCAACAATTCAAAAACCATTCACCTTTTGTATCCACAAATCATCTCAACTCCCGGATCTATCGAATACTCAAATTTCAGGTTACTCCTTCTTCTTATGACTATGGAACTTCACTAGGAGTCTTAACAAGCACCCCTCTCGAGAAAACGTCGTCACTACATTCTCAAGCAGTCAAAAACAAAGAATTATACTTGGAAAAATACTCAGCAAAGATCAACATTACATCAGAGCCACGTCATAAAGACTCTGGACGGACAACTCTGGCAAAACGCGTCAACAAATACCTCGAACAAAATTCTCGCACAAAACTGTGTTTCAACTCATTGACCAATTTAAAATAAGCTTCGGAAGCACACAGGCCTCAACCATGTCGTACCAAAATATGCCAAATCCTTCCTCCAGTACATCGTTCAGAACCATCA